TTTTTTTCTGTTTTTTTTTCTCTCTCTCTTTTTTTTTCTCTCACAATCCACTGTGTCCCCTGTGTCTGTTTGCGTGCTTGTTTTTGTTCCAGCAAATTTACTTAATCAGTTTGAATAATTGGGGAACATGCAGATAGATGTTTCAATTTATTTGTTTGGTTAAGGTTCAGCGAGTGCGTGTCCCTTCTCCCGTGAGACAAAGTCCTGCTGGAGTCCTTCCACCTGTTCATCGATTTCATTATCTACATTTCAGTGACCTCAAATGACCATAAATCAAGTGCATGCACACCTAACAGAAACGACAGAGCAAGTTACATGCAAACAAATCAAATTGATTGACTTGTTACCATCAATTACCATAAAGGAGAAGTCCATTGATCAGCTAACAGGTTGTTGGAAGGTGTCAGGTTGTTGGCGTCCTAAATGCAGAGCGCTCAGATGTTCCTGCTTTATTCGGAGTATAAAAGGAGCGCTGCCTGTGGAACACAATAACAGAGAGGTCAAGGTTAAAAAACAAGGTCACCACCTGCTTACAAGGGGGAAGAGGGGGATGATTTCAAGAAAAGCACACGATACATGTCTGGAAAGGGAAGAGGGGGAATATTTCTAGGAAAGCACACAATACACATCTGGAGCTTCTCAGAGTCATGAAACTCTGGTCTCTGCTGATAAGGTTGAGTTCAGAACACTGTGGTCAGTTTGCCAGTACAGACAAAAGCAGGAAGACAAAGCAGGAAAAAAACAGCAACCGCTGAGAAGAGGCGAAAGGTCTGGACATTTACAGATATACTTTAAGCTTTAGTATTAGAGCATTTGGTTCAAGCAGACAGACATACGATAATTATTTTATGAAGTTGGTGTGCTGGCAGGACAGTTCACTATACAGAAAAGAGTACTATACTTTACTTTGGTTTTTAAGAGTGTGCTCATTAGTGTCCTCCATTAGTCTGCCTCATTGCCTTTTATTAGTCTTTTTCATTCATAAAACCTCACGCTAGACCCTCATCTGGTCTTAATCTTAATCTCCAGCTCAAAGCACACCCAGGGGTATGTTAAATTCCATTACTCTCAGCAAGTCCAACAGAAGACGCAAGAAGAAAACGACTCCGTGTTCATACCAGTTTGCTTTCATAAATGTTGCACAAGAAGGAAAATCACTCACCTGCTGGCACCCACTTTACTCCTACCACTCCTTGCAGCTTTTGGCTTGGAGACAGCTGTTATGATGGTGCAGAGAGGAGTTGGAGGCAGTTTTGAGGCTTCATGTTTACTTATTGATGCTGCGGCTTCAGCACTAAAACCTCCCTGCCACAGCCTTGCTTTGTATGTAGAGGCGTGTTCCCATCGTTAAATCATGTCTACCTCAATCGGGATACAAAAACTAGGCCCTTATCATAGTCAATGCAGCGGATACAATTAACAGCTCTGCATGTGCTCTCTAAATACGTGCAGAATGCAAAGTATGGCTTTTCAAGGCTCTGTGCTCTAAAATATTGATTTGGCAGTCATTGGAAAAATAAAGAGGGATTGAGCTTTTGCCCCTTGTGCTTTTTCGTTTGAATGAGTTATTTCTGGTTTGGGGAAAGTGGTGTGTTCATGCATGGCATATAGAATCAACATAGAATTAGTTACTCTACACCCTGTTCAGAGCAGCCGTGCATAACGTTATAATAGTACAAGCCCAAGCAGAACTCTGAGCATCCTTAAACTTTGCTCTGTCTAACATTTTCATTCTTATCCTACAAACCTTTCATATGTTTTCCTGCATTCCATACTCTCTGGTTTTGACTGCTTTTTTGCTTTCAAAGCCTTCAAGTGATTCAAGTTTTTCTCTTCCTCCAAACTTAGACTGAGTCTTAAACAAACACATTGTATTGCAGGACCATTTCCTGCCCAATCCATTGATAAATAGATAGGGCTCAGAAATTCAGCAACATTGTCTTGAGAAAGCAATTCCTCAGGCCGTCACAACAATTCCGAGCTTCATTTTTCACATGTGGACAGAAGAGGGAGAGAATGAGGGAATCTTACTGCAGCTTTGAGGAGGGTTGATGGTGACCTGAGGGCATTGGACCCCATAACCTTTCCCCTTTAGCTGCTTTAAATGGATATTATTCATAAATCCTTCATCCTTATGTTGCAAGTTTGCCCTTGCATGTGTGCATGCAGGGGTATGTGTGGAATATGAATGCATTCCAGACACTATTTCATTATCTGTGTGTGTCACTTCATTTTCTCCTTTACGATGTGAAAGAGAGGCTGTTTGCGCAGTCATATGTGGAGAGCATTAATCCGTCAGGAGGTTTTGAGGATGGAAAAGCTAAAGAGCCAGCTCACCTTGAGGATATGAAACTAGACAATAATGGATATCTGCTTATTGGCCTCTGAGGGAAAGGTATGGCGTGCTCTGACCTGCTTTTACATTCACTTTACCTGGCATGGGCATGCAGCCTTGGCACTAAGCATTATTAATTGGTTTATTTGTTAATTGTAAAATGACTGACATTAAGTCAGACTTTTTTAGTGAATAGCGAACACCACATACATTCATCCAGATGTTGTCATTTAAACATTATGCTTAGTGTTTGAGAATGTGTTCTTCAGTTACAACATGGTATCTCTCTCCTGTGTGTTAAAGATAGCTTGACATAATGGTGACATAACAGCTAACTTAGAGCTGCGCTATTACACCACCAAATATAAACACGTTCAGCACAAGAATCACAACATTCAAAGTGGGAGTGGGAATGACTAATTCAGTGTCACTTAATGGATAATGCCAAGAACTACTTAGAAATAGAAACTTGCTGGAACAAGCAAGATTCCAGGGTTACTTCACTGCACTCTTAAAAATAAAGGTGCCAAATAGGTTTCTTTGAAGTAGTGCCATAGAAGAACCACTTGTGTTTCCCTAAAGAAATTTAAAGTAATAAGTCTTTACGCCTATTTTTTATAAATGAGATGTTTTGTAAGAAGGTGAAGGAAGTTCAAAGAACAGTTAAAGGTTTTTTTCCTAGAACCGTATGTCCAAGCTAAGAGCCATTTAGGAACCTTTATTCTTAAGGGTTTTTTCACTTGAAGTCACAGTCCCTTCAGGGAACATCTATCAGTATATCTCAGCAGGGCCTTCTAACCACCAGCACGGCCCATCTTGTCATAGTAATCACTCAGTCCTTATCAACTCTGAGGGCCACGACTTGCCTCTGTGAAGTTCTGCTTGGCTTTGTTTGCTCTGACATTTCTGGACAATGCCATGTTTCTTTGTCTATTTCTTTTGCTTGGTTTGTGGATTTGGCTGATTTTTAAATTGCATATTGGATTTGTTAGATTGAAAAAAATCACTTTTTCACTCTGTGATCATGACCAATTTGGCCAGATCTATCTGTGCCATTGTTAAAAAAAGAAAAGAATTCCTCTCTGCACAGAAAAAACATCCTAAACCACCCATTGTGTTCCCGAACACTTCCCATCAAGGGTGTCTTTTACTACCAATAAGTTTTGTTTAATGCAAGTGCAACTGTCATCATCAGCTGAAAATCTAGAGTGCAACTAATTGATTGGAACAAAAGTTGAGTCCCACCTTGGGTGAGTTGCTGATGAGTTGAATCAGGTGTGTTGCAGCAGGGGAAAACCATGAGGATGTTGTGTTCCCAGAGCTGAAAAAACTGACTTAAGCCCATATTAATGCAAAAGTTGACAGTCTCTCAGTTATAATACACTGTACTTGAACACTCCTCTTGAAGCAAGGTGTCAGAGATGGCCCTCTCTGGAATACTTGTCCTACTGCATTGAATCTCACCTGTCAGATGCCAGCAAGTTTAAAGCAATAAGCTTGGTAAATGTGGCTATTACAGGTGTAGAAGTCCTTGAATTAAGGTGGTCCATCACTGACACTGCAGGCCATAGGGTAAGATGCGAAAAGGAACTTGTAGCTACAATGGGGCTGATAGGTGTTGGTGTCATTGCAAACAAGTGACTGTAAAGCCATTCAATAATAGTTTAATACTAAAGTATCTCACGGGCATGGGTGATGCATAGTGATGGGGCAAAAATATTATTAGAAGGCTTCGTTAAGACATTAGCAGACAATTGGTGCTTCTGTATTCCCCCATAGGTTTGAATGCACATCATGTAGCTCAAATGACTGTGTGACTGTCTTTAAATTTGGATCATGGCCAGGGCATTCAAGGACTAAGGATAAATTAGCTTGACCACACAGTTTTTAGACCCTGGACAACATGGGGCAGTTTCTGTATGTGAAATCTTTGTTGATTTTCTTCCAAGGAAATTGGGATAGACTGTGGTCAGCATGGTAATTTGTTATGTGTCACTGCATTCAGCACTCATCACAAGCTCCACGGGAAAAAAAAAAAGTTGTTTCGTGCAGTAGATGGAAAGAATCAAATAATAGGCTGGTACTCACAGTACTGAGAAAAGCCCTACGGCATCATTTTATACAATAGCTCTTTAGTCCTAACAGTAGCCTGTATGGAGACTTCCAGTGTGCCATAGAGGAAAATGATCCCAGACTGCTGGCATTGGAAACGGTCTTAATATGAGAAAACAATGCAATAACAGACACTTCTTGCAAACTAATTATAAGAAGAAGACAAGAAAGGTGCATACTGGTGCACACGATATATATGCACATTACCTAAAGCCATAATGTGTAATGAAATAAAGTGTCCTGAAGCCATAATGCGTAATTAAATGGTGTTCCAACATCAGACTAAAAGCTGTCCTTTAGGGGTGTTTCCACGTTCCGACAAATGAGATTCGTCAGTATTCTGCAAAAGCAGTCAGGCTTCCTTCAGAGCGTTAAGTGTTTACTACACTCTACCAACTGCACTATTTTCATATAACAGTGCATTACATGCAATGCATTAAAAAAGCGATAGAATGAATCTGTTATGCGATCCATGCGCGCGCATTAAAAAGCTGACAACTTCTTCAGGTCATGAATGCTCGCGTGCACTGAGCGATCCCCCCCTATAAATGCGCTGCGCGTGGACTCGGCGCCTCTCTCCAGCGCTCTGCTGATGAGGCTGCAGCTCTAGTTGGGAAGTTGGCAGCCTGAGGCTTCAGAGGGGGCTTTACTCTCGCACTGGCACTTGCACTCGGGAATTATGAGCAGAGCTGGTCAAACCTGCACGCTGTTTTGAACCTTTCTTTCAGAGCGTTTTGACCACCATGGAGTTCGGCAGCCGCGTGCTCGTCGCCTTCCTCCTCTCACAGGTAAGCACAGCACGTTCCTTACCGTGAAAGCCGTGAAATTTCGAGCCGCGTCGCTCTCCTCCGGCGCCTGGAGATCGCCTGAGCGGCGTGCTTAATAATGCAACTCCCCGGGCTGTCCGTGGCATCAGACCGCTTTAGGTGCGTAGCAGAGCTGCATCTGTTTTGGCAGTTTTCTTTATTCACAGTGGCTGAGTGTGAGTTGTGCGCATAGTGAATGAACGGGCGAAGAATATGCTTATTGTTATTTATCTTTATTTTTCCACAGTGGCTTGGTTTGTTGTCGCCGTCCAGCGTGCAATAGTGGATATTTGTGAGTGAGAGAGGGGCTGTGTGCCATCAACAGCGGACTCTGCTTGCATTCGCATCGTTATTCCGCTCAGCTCCCAAGTTCAGCGTTCCTTTGGCTCCCTTCATTAGGCTGAACGGTGTGCGTGTGTGTGCGTCGCTGAGCGAGAGATTCACACGGCGTGCTGACTTAAGGGGGCTGTCTTCGCTCCACTTTAGACAGCCGACAACTCAAACCTTCGAGCTGAAACGGTCTGTGTTCTCAGACAACCCCACCTTAAATTTTTATCAGTTCTTTTTAATGGGGGGGGGTATGAAAACTTGAGACATGACGTAAAGGAAGACCAGCAGCTGCCTGCAGTCAATCACTTGACTCTCACTGGCTCGAGTTGTTCGATTTTGAGCCACTCTTGAAACATTATTTTCGTTTTTTGGATGTGATATTAGTAAAAAAACGAGGTTTGTCTAGACGTTAACCGTGTGAGCTGTGCCTCCCCTGTTATCCTCCTACTATATTTAATAAGTTAGTTCCCCCACGTAGTGCCCAGGAGGAGTAAGTTAATATGGCATGTTGGAGGGTGTTTTTAGCTCCAACATATGACCCGTATGAAGGAGACTCACTCTGGAGACTCACTCTGTCCCTGCATGTGTGCTGCATTTATATTGCAGAGAGTCATTCTGTTCCTCCACCGTCTAATAGATCACGGCTCTTCCAGTCACAGCCTCGCCTCAGTCCGAGAAGTGGCGCGAAAACGCTGCCTTTCATCTTCCCGCGTGGAAACATATTAGCTACATAGGCTAGCAGCATTAATACTGTTAATGATTATGGAAAAACAAAAATAATAACCTCACTCTGACCGAAAACATACAAAAAATGTTAATTCATCAAACGTAGCACATAAGACCCAGTTGTGTGAGTCTTTCCACTAGAAACATAGTATTAATTGTGCTAGCTGTTAGCTGACGTTGCCATACTCAAGGCTCTAGCTGAGGTGAGGCTTTATATGAGCTATTAGGAGCTGCCGGTCTTGCCCACTTAGGCTATTTATCTATATCTGTTCCGTAGCAGGCACACTTTCCCTTAAAGAGGCGCTTAATGGCCGTTGAAATAAAGTAGTGTTTTCCGTGCCAAGTGTTAGCCACACATCAGCTCTCTGAACTTCTACTGGAAGAGCCCGTGTTTCAACAGGCAGCAGGCTCTGCCCTCCTTTACAGCTCAGACCGGCCTCGCGGTATCTGTATATCACACCGCTCTGAACGGTGTTCCTGCGCGTTAAGACTCGTGTTTACCGCCTCCCCTAAAGTGATAAACAGATCCTGCGCTTCTCCATAGATTTCCGCCCAGATACTGTCACCACGTTTATGCCTGGCCCGCGGTGCTCGTTTCTCCGTGTTTCTGTTCGCTGTGCGTGTGATCAGGTGGAGAGGATCTTATTTATAGGCCCGCGCGGGGCGCCAACTTTCACGCGCCCGGCAGCAGTGGAAAGACCCGCTTCAGCACAAAGCGCTCAGCAGCGATGATTCACAATAAGCGTAGCTCTCTCTCGTCTTCCTACTTTCTTTCTCTCTTTTCCCCCACACTCTCTCTCCTCTCTCCTTCCTTCTTCCCTTCCCTTGTCTTCTTCCTCTCTTCTTCTCGCTCTTTCTTCTTCCTCTCTCCCCCTCTCTCACTCTCTCTGTCTCTCTTCTTCCTCTCTCCTTCGCACTCTTTACTCTTCCTTTCTCTCCCTCTCTTCTTCCCACTCTTTCTCTTTCTTTCTGTTCCTCTCTTCTTCACCTTCCCCCTTGCTCTTTCTCTCTATTCTTCCCACTATCACTCTCTATCTCCGTCTCTTCTTCCCGTTTTCTTCCCACTCTTTCTTCCTCTCTCCTTTCCAGTCTCTCTCCATCTCTTCTTCCTCTCTCTCTCCCTCTCCTCTTCTTTTCACCATAGCTGTCTGTTCTTCCCACACTCTGTTGCTCCCTCTGTTCTTCCTCTTTCCTTCCCTCTCTCTCTCCATCTCTGTGTCTCTCTCTCTCTCTCTCTCTCTCTCTCTCTCTGTGTCACTCTGTCTCTCTCTCTTTCTCTCTCTGTCTTTGTACTCCCCATCCTTTTCCCTCTCTCTCTGTTTCTCTCCTTTGCTTGCTCGCTCGCGCCCTCTCTCTCTCTCCTGGCTGTTGCTTTTGTGTTTTATTTACTTATCTCCTTCCCCAACGGCCTCAGTCCAGTGATAGCAGGTTTGGGGAAATGGAAAAGTAAAACAGAAATGGGAAAGCAAATGATATCCCTCAGTGGGATTGAAGTCCCTGAGTGTGAGAATTATGGGGAGGGGAGGGCGAGCAGTGGCTTCATTTAACACATCAGTCAGTGAGTTACAGCGGTCAATCGCTGTGGGATATAATCCTGCAAGAGTGTCTGTGTAGTGCAGGCAATCCTAGTAGCACCGTGCTTGACGATGTCAACAGCACTAGCATCACACCCAGCATGCATCGGTCTTAATGAGAAAGAGAGAAAGTGAGAGACACAGAGAAAGTGAGAGAGAGAAAGAAAGATGGGGTTCAGGGAGAAGGAAGTAGGTGCTGTTGTGCTCTTTTGTCAACTCTGTTTATTACAGTGGTAACAGGTGCATAAGGGGGACTGCACCCACATACACACAATTCACGAGCACATAGAGCACGACGTTCACACAAGCACATGAAATATACACACTACTTTCACACGCCGACTCACAGCCTAGAGGCAGCCACGCAGAGAAGACTGTGTTTGAGATGCTCATCCCCAGCTATGGAGCTGGTGTATATTTAGCTACACTCTTCTGTGAATAAGGGTGTGAGGTTACAAGACTGTCACTCGTGGTTTGTCACTAAATTTCCAGTAGGAAGCAACAACTGTGACCCTATTAAAGACACTGACAGGTCTGATGTCAGTGTGCCACTCTCTAATACCTTCTGCCTCTTGTTAAGCTCCAACTGCAGTAATCTGCAGAACCTATTAAGTTTTAGGCCTTTAGCTCTAGTCTTGCATGAAAATGTTGTGAAAAACAGTGATGCACTGATCCAACTTTTTCTCAAAACCAATTCTGATATCTGAACTCAGGGCGCTGGACAATATCGTGTACCATTTCTGATGGCTGTGCTCTGATAAGGCACTCATGATTCATGGTGGTAAAGCGCATAAACATAAATATACACTAGAGACAGTCATGCCATAATGGAGAGGGACTTACATCAACACTGTTTTTAGGTTTATAAAATTGCACTAAGGGTATCGAATGTTATGAGAAACAATACTGAATGTGGATATCTGATTTGTTTAATAAAGACATTACAGATGCTTGATTAGAACTGGCCAAGACTGGAATTGGCAGACAATCCACAGACAATTGGCAATTGGGCAATATATTTTATTTTGGTGATCTGTGTTCAATTTTCTGACGTAAATAGTGTAATTCAGGTGCACTTGCGCTGTATTTGAATGCTGCTGCTACACCTGTACTAAAATTTCATATAATTTCTGTTATATAATAGGCAGCAAATAAATAAACCAAAAAAAATGCCATTTTGGCCCATTGAAGACGAAGCAGTGTTCTCCATGTCGCAACTTTGGCTAAAAGAAGGTGCTGGAAATGGTTCATTTAACCCACACAGTGTGAGCTTGAGATTTAAAGCTAATAAAAATCGAACCAGAAATCAGCCACTGGCCAATGTTGCTGTAAAGAAATCAAAATTAGACATAAAAATTCACGATTCTTTCATCCCGAACGGTTAGTATCAGCGCAGGTACTGGTCTAGTATATCAGTTTGATGCATCACTATTAAAAATGTCAGCGGTGTTTGAAACGTCCGCGCGATTGACATCATTGCACATGGGCCCTCACATGGCCTCATGCTGCTGTGGTGCAAGACTCCCGTTTGTTGCTGTTTTTTTGCCCATGTTTGTTTATACACTCTGTAGCTTTTTTTGCAGTTCCCCCACCTATGGGTTTGGTATTTAGAGAAGACTGTTCGTACTGGGGAGAAAAGGCGTTAATTACTGTGGTTGCTGGCGGTGAGGCACAATAACGTAAATGAAGGCCTGTTAATGAAGGGGATAATGAGCAGTCAGTCATTAGTGCTGCTCTGAATGAAATGCTCCCCACACCCTTCACTCTTTTGTGCCCAGCACCCTGCTCCAGCCAAGGTCAGTGCTCACCAGTTTAATTCCCCTACAAATTGCAGAAATCTTTCGTGGTTTGGATGGCTTTCTGTGTGTCTGGGTTCTAGATAAACTATGGGAATGATAATGGAATATGCTTGGGTTAAAGGTCAACTTGATGACCCTTAGGCTATGCTAGAGGACACAGCTGTATGTCATATTGCACACTTTGATGTGAGATTGAACCGTGAAATAAAAATGAATTTGTGTGTGTGTTTGTGATGCTGGTCTTATGAGATTCTGCTGCCGTCATAAAGGCTGAGGTAATGGAGAGCAATATCAAAGCAGAGAGCCCTTATTCAGCTCTTTAGATCCAAATAGGAGACAGATCTCAAGAGTTTGCATCATCTTGTTTGTGGACAGTAGCTGGTGCTGATGCCACATGGGTGGTGGGGAAAAAAGGTCCCTTTGGGATGCAAAGTAATCTCTCTCCTCTCTCTCTCTCTCTCTCTCTCTCTCTCCTCACTTGTTCATTGTGGTTCTGTGTTTCAGTGGTTGGTTGTAATGGACCAGAGACTTTACTTTCATTTCAGGCAGGTTT